ACGTTTCTAAAATATTCAGTATGGTGCCCCATTCATTAATAAACCTTATACTTAAACTTTGTAAACCGTCTCGTTAAGTTTGGCCAAGTTTCTCCAACCCACTGCTGTGTGCGTGCATACATATATTGCAACAGTGGCATAAGTCCTGTGAAGGATCGTGTCTTGTTGGCATGCCTATAGATCTGCCTCAGTAACAATATTAAAAAGTGGTTTAGAAAAAATTAAAATAATAGAGCTTAATAAAATAAATGTAATCTTAAGATGGGTTTTGTTAAATAAATGTTAACACAACTAAAAGTTCATAAATTTACAGAGGTGGAAAATTTTAAATATGGGTCCTGATACCTGGTCAGGACAAACGAGATTCTTGTAATCTGTAAAATTATTCTTTTCGACTCCGTCCATCGTCTAAATTATACATAAAATCACAACAGGTCTGAGGCTAGTTCAACGAGGCCAAACAGAATGGGTTCCCGTCTTTTTTACCTGGATTCCAACTTCTCAAACGTGATTTCTCTTATTACTTAGATGATGTGCAGAGTCCAAGAACGTTTATATGATGCGTTATTCTTGTTTATTTCTTTACAATAACATTTTCTGTCTAGAAAAAGTTTAGGCTTTATTGAACCAACAGAAATCACTGGGCAGAACGTGACAAAGTAGAATTCCATTCCGGTAGTACGTCTGTCAGAAAACACCAAAAACCTTTTCAGAGATCCAGTCACAGATAGAAGGATAATATCTTTATGAATCTTAGATAAATAGATGATGGAAGTGTTAACTGGATTAAACTGGCATAGGATGGGATTTTATTTACACGATCATGTATCTTACGTATTCATAAAAGCAACACAATTCTCGTTGAATTAACAGATTTATCTACCTAAGATCTGACGTTACATTACAAGTCAATTTATTTTTGTCAAAGATCTTATTATAAATCTTAAACACTAGAATACAAAGTCTTTTAGACGCTTATTCCCCCACACGTTAATCACGTACAGAGGCAACAGGCCCGCCTACTTGTTACTTTATTAATTGAAGTCAAACTTTGATACTATCTTACGCAAATAGAGATTTCTTATGCACTTTATAATTTAAGCTATCTAGTTCAACATTCGCCAGGACCAACTCCATATCCCACTTTTAAAGGCTGATTTCATTGCTTCAGAACTACTGATGCAGTAGCCATAGAATATGTACATACTGAGTCGGTTAACGCAGCGTTATTGAGTCTGACATTCTTTTTTTTTAGGCTTTGTCTTTTAAATAAACTTCAGTCTTAACAAAGTAACCCAATTCAATGACGTTTTCCTTCAAACGTTAATGGTTATTAAACGAATAAACAAATCGATTTTTTATACAACCTGAACTTTTATCGCTGCGTTCAAAAAAGAACACTGGACAAGAAAATACAGTCTACACATTTATGCCCAATTTTTATATTTAATTTTAATGTTACATTTCCTTCTAATCCACGTCTTTGAAATGGCTTTTCCTTAAGATTTTTCGGCCCAAACTTTGACAGCATATGGTGGGCATACAACCGACCTCTCTCATCCTTGTAGTTTCAGTTATTCCAACAATATTAGGCAAAGAGCAGCCTACAGGTATCTAAGCTCCTCAATATGTAATTTTCTCCATTTATCTTTCATTCCATCCTGTCTAAGCAGGATGTTCCTCTGAGTGCTTTATTCTCAAGTGCCCTAAATCACTTCACTTCTGACGTATTAGTGAAACATCTATGATATAAAATATATAATTTTAGTAAAGATTGTTGCATACATAATTAGGGATTTAGGATGAAGGCTAAGTTTTTAGAGTCATTATTAGTATGACAGTCGTAAAAAGATCGTAGTCACAATTAATAACATTAGTCGATTCTGCAAAGTACAAATATTGCACTCTAGAATTTGCCTCTAGAATTAATTACCTCTCGATTCATTGATTAGTGGATTAAATTCCAGCACCAAAGGATCATACGTATTTTCATGCGCTAAAGTAGCATATGTCACTTTCATAACAAACAGAGATGCTTCTTAATGTTCGGTTATGACAGATAGATCCTATTGCAAATCATTTTGCAGATCAGGAAATTTTTGTTCTTGTGATCCGCGAAGGCGTGGTGCTTAGTTAAGTACCACGAATAACGTTACTTTGCCTATTTGTCTTTTATTCGTGTTACCGGTTATATAGAATAAGTTTCTTTATAATTTTCCTCATTCTTTTCGGAGGAATGGTGATTAGCAAATTTACGTTTTTCTCACTTAATTAAATTATTAGGTTACTCTTACATGAAAGAAATATTTACCTTTATTTCGACATTTCACTTTCATCATTTTAAGTGTATTTTTTATTTTTATATATATTTAATACTTTAAACCCCAGTGGTAGTTATACGCACCACCTGATTTAACAATAAGTAACTGTATTTTGCCTTTCTAGCTTTTGTATGAATCTCAGTGTGATCAGGGTTAATTTCAATAAACAGCATTAACCAGTTGATCTTTTTAAATTAGAAGTGTCGTGTTTAATTTGAGGTATGGACTGAATCTGCTGAAAATATTTAGGTGGTTCTGCTGGCCAGAACTGTGTAATTTGGATGAGACTAATGCATTTCTACCTGAGTGACCATGGAGTATGTAAGCTTAATGTGACGAAGCTGGAATCCTGTGTTAATAGTATTCAGAATCCGTTCACCCCTTCACACCCCTTCCAGCCCCTCCTTGCATCACAACCGCCCCTCGTGTGTTTTATCACACCTCGTATACCGTCCTATATAAACTAACCTAACATCCTAACGCACGTGTGTGTGGAGGAATTTTATAGTATTTATGCCCGTCGTTTAAAAAACAACAGTTCATTCATCGGGTTTTAAACGGTTTTACAACCGATTCGTAAAACTGCAGCTTAATGTGGTCTGGTTTTAATAGGTCTTTCAATGTTTGCTGGCGACAATTCTAGAGTTTACCTTTTTCGGGGTTTTATAACGACAGCGGAAATGTGCCTTTCCTTATGGCCTGGAAGTTACTTTAGAGATTGTATTTAGGAAAGGCAGTAACAAATCAAACTAATATTCTTGACGAAATTAAGAACAGATTAAGTTTGACTGGTCTTTCTTCCAGTCGATTCAGAATACATTTACCTTTTGTGTCTTAACCAAATGTCTAAAAATAAAATTATAAATAACACAGTTTAACCTCTTAGGTCTGTATAATAAAACATAGTCTACCATTCTAGGGGAAGAAATAAATCACGGAGGACAATTTGTAATGAAAACTTTACACTTTTTAAAAATATTTTAATTGTAATTAGGTCAAGGAAATGGTAACCTTAACATTTATATTTAAAAACTTGAAAGAATATGAACATATTTATATGGAATAGTTTATTTTAGAATTTGTCTTCTTGTTAAATACTACTACGACATTAAAATATATTCTTCGTACTTACGGACAAGAGAATCATGTAAGACGGATCAAAAGCTAAGAAATAATGGAACGAGTGATTAAGTGTTGATGGTGTTAGGTTATAATATATTTCCTCATAGAGTTCACCACTTTCAACCAATAATTACTGTCAGTTTTCGCCGCTTCTCATTGTTCTTATCGGCAATTTTCTCGCATCATTTAATGTTTTGTGCAGTCTGAAATCAAATGGTAGACACACAACAACGCTGTGTCCCCAACATCAAGATTTGCAATTTCACAATAGGCTATCCTGCGTTTGACAAAGTGTGAAGGTAACAGAATTATCTGCAAAACAAAGGCAACTTTCCTTGTAGTTCATCTTCCTTCATTAATCAAGTTCTGGTTACAAAATTCAGTGACTTTCTTGCATCGTTCCATTTGTACCAACTTCAGCAGATTTACATCTGTTCATTTTTTTAATAAGTACTTTATTTTCTTTTGATTCTTTTGGCTGCTCTGTCATTAGCTCCTATAACACTCGAAATGTTAGATTTGAGTCTCGCTTGAAGCATCTCTGCGTTCTTATGTGATGACGAATGTCCTGGGACTGTCTGACATCAAAGCCGTTGTTCTCATGTTATGAAATGTTTTCAAAACTCTAGCTTCAGATAAATAACAAGAACTAATGGTTGAAGCAATAAAAGATAAAAGAAATAGCATATAAGAAAAAAAAGAAGTAGGCTATATTTGTAGAAACAAAATAAGACCATGGACAAGGGTTGATAATAACAGACGGAGAAGAGAACTGGAAACATGAAGAAGCAAAAGTGATGTCATAAGATGAGGACAGAGAATTATAGAAAGAAGACGGACAAGAACAGATAGAAGAAGAAGAATACAGAAAGAAAAAGAAGAATAAATCTTTCCTAAGAAAGAAAAATTCATTTTTTGTTTTCTTTTTTAAATTCAGTAAGCTTCAGTATGACCAACATTAATTAGCACCGCATGGAACAGTGCAATAATTAATCACAGAATAATCTGCAATCTTTATTTTTAATATCTCGAATTTGGCTGTGTGATGTTTTTCTAGGAATTAATTGTGACATACTTAATCCTTTAGATAAGTCACAGGACAATTTGGGCGGGAATCATTCGATCAATTGCAATGACTTTGTTACGTAAAATTGTTAATTGTAAATAAGTTAATATTTTAACGTTAATGTCCATTTCAAGCATTTGCCTACTCTATCGCAGCGGTTTCCAATACACGAGGCAGGATTCGTACTCAGAATCAGCCCATTGTGATACCTCTGCCACACAAAAGTACATTCATTCTCCAGGCGGGATTCGATCCCAGCATTCTAATGTTTAAGTTCATAAGACCATGTCGCTATATCACTTATAATTTGTAATAATTTTGTTAGTTACTTTGTGGGCTATACTTTAATTATTTTTGTTGTCAATTCTGGAGGTTAAATTCCCTGTTTTTATCACGTAACAACAACACATTTCAGAAATTATCTTTTATTTTTTGACCGTTTTGTTTTGGAGCAGAACAGAGCGTAAAGCTAGCGGCTTCGTTTGTTTCAGATTTCCCGAGCTTGGTCGCCAGTTTCTGGCGGTAGATGCCACTATAGTTGACCGGCGTCTTGCCCGCCGCCGTAGCGTCTTCTAAGCAGCCATTGACAAAGTATTTCATGTCATTTACTTCTTGTAACAGGTATGCTCTATACAAACTTATGTTTCATAGTTTAATCCTTTAAATCCCAGTGGTAATAATATGTACCACCTGCTTTAATAATCGGTAACCCTGAATTTTGTATAGAATTCGTACGATTCTCAGTGTAAACAGCGATTATATCCTTAAACAGAATTAACAAGCCAATATTTTTAATGGTGAAGATTTATGTTTTCTTTTCGGTACGGACTGAATTCCTAAATATAATTTAGACGAGTTTTGGCTTGAATGGGTTAAGGATATAGTTTTAAAGGTTTACGTTACTATAGCAGCAATCATCAGGTAAATTGAAGAAAAATGTGGAGAACTTCAGTCAGCAGACCGCAATGCCAAAAGGTCTGCAGGCTTTCGGCCTAGGAAAGCATATCATGACTGGATATTAATTGCCGAAATTTTGAATTGTTTTCTCTTCTCTAGAACAACACTTTTGGGGATCCTAGTGGCTAAGCGTGAAACTGGAAATTCACCAATTGGAGCCTCACATTCGTGCCCCCAATATACAAGTTTATGGTCTCTGTTTCAGAAACAGTGTCAACATCATTTTCACTGACCGACAGGTGCCGACAATAAACCTTGGAAAAGTTCTCTGATGCTTGTGTTTGGAAGCAGGCTGTACTTTCACATAAGTCAGGCAGAGCAGTGAGAGGGGAGGAACAGAGTGGAGTTACTAATTTATATACAGAAGTAACGTGAATTAGCCTGGATTTGACTTGTGAGACACAAATGATTGCAAATATGGTTGACTTCGCATTGATGTTCTATCGATCCCATATCGTATGTTATTTTCAGTTTATATGATCGAGAGGATTTTCAAAGAATGCAAAAATTAATTAATAAATTATTGATTAACTACGTAAATAAATAACTAAAAATGATATATAACTTACTACTTAACATACTGAGGAACAAATTAAGTAATTAATTAAAACAGAATTAAAGTAACTATTGATGTAAGTAAGTAATTAAATAGTAAGTGAGTAACTACTTAACTGTCTATGTAACTAAGGAATTAGCTTCCCAATAAACCAAGTTACTATATAAGAATATACGAGTAGGTATTGCAGTAATGAAATATGTAATTTTAGAAAGTAAAAACACTTTTAGAAATTTTGTAGGATTCCTTCGATCAGTCAATTGTAAGGAATCTACCTAATTAAAATATCAAAATATAAAAACACAGACACACATCCATGCGTCGTATCCACGGTCCACGTGGTCCTTGTTTTAGGGAAACATGTTCTAGAACCTAGACATTTCAGCGAAGATGTGACTTGAGCCCACAACCTCTTTTTAAAAAGCCTACGACCCTGATAGCGCATTATTTTTCAGTTTTATTCATATGTATATTAATTATAAGTTTTCATATTTCCTAAGAATGTAGGTCTAAGATGAACTAGAGAACTAATTAGTTTATATTAGGGTAAAAGAAGACTTCCTTCTAAGACTAATCAAAATCAGACTTCACACTAACAAAGTTCCTGCCATAAATCATCGCTAAATGACCAATTATAAAAGCTCATAAATAACATCAACCCTGAAGCCGAGAAAGTTTACGGTGCTAGCACACACAACACGCACGCACACAATCTAACTGAAGTGTAATATGAAATCTCGCGACAGGGCATGGCCATAGCAAAGTTTAAGATCATAATATGACAGAGCATCAATTAATATTAGTGTTATTATTTTGCCCAACGCTGCAGAATCGGTGGAAACAGCCAAGCACCTACGCTTCTGAGCAACACTGACATATGAGGCTCGCACTTAGAATGGGTAGATAAGTGTATTCCAGTTAGAGTACATTTATTTCCCAAGTGTATTTTTTGTGATACATCTTATCTCACTGGTCTTTATAATAATATATTCCATGTACTAAATCATTATTTTAAACCGCATTTACAATCGTAATTAAAGATATTACAGTTTATGGAGTCAGAGAAAATGTCTGGACGACCGAAGTTCTATTCCCGGAAGATTAGAGTATTCATCTCTCATCACAACGTCCATGCCTATTCTGCGGTCCACACATCCTCCTATAGAATAGATACTGGTTTTCTTTCATTGAGGTTAAAGCGGCTAGACCATGAAGCTAATCACTCAGTTCCAGAGGTTAAGAATTGAAAAACACAACTGGCTCAATCGTCAGCGTTGAAGATGAAGGCAGTATATTCCTAACAAACACTGGCATCCAACTACTATCCCACCAAGACCACCATCAAGGACACCTAGAAAACATGTCCTTAGGACTAATTAGAATTAAAATTAACCCGGGTGGTTTAGTTGCTCCAGAATGCAACAAAAAAGAGTCTCTTGGTCTTGAGCCATTCTTGCACCCGCAATATTTCTGCAGCGCACACAGGAACATAATATAAAGTTTCGCCATTATTCAAAAGAGAAATGGAAGGGGGTTGAATAAGAAGATGGGTGGGGGGTAGGGGGTGGTTGAAGGGAACAGAAAACAAACGAGAAACGCCGAGCGTCGTCGTCTTCTTAGATAATAAACGACCAAAGAGGCAATTAAATTTTCTGTCGTTCCTTCTATTCCTTCATCTTTATTCTCCACGTCCCTTTTACGTTTTGGTCTTCTTTATCTTTTGCTTTCTCTTTTCCACACAGACTCCCCCTTTCTTCAAGTTCTTTGACGTGTCAAGCTTTAACGTAAGCCCCGCCTTCGCTTACTTAAACTGACGAATAAGGAATGAAGTAATAGAGTGAAAGGTTTTTCTGTTAATGGCACAAGGGTGGAGGAATGAGGGTGTGTTTTCGTGTTCTTACTGAAAGCAACAGAAGAAAACTTCAGGCCCTGGGGGTGACATGGCAAGCACTTGCCATATATGCATGATATCCTATAAAAAATTATAAAAAGCAGGTTTTATGGCAACTTCGTTGCTCAACAAGAAGCAGCAAGAACAAGGAAACTTTTACATCCTTTTGCTAATGACACAACAAGCCGCATGTCAGACGTGTTCATAATGACATTTCTCTGCTCAAGCACCACGTCAGAAATATATGGCGTAGAAGAAACGCTTCACGTGTTCAATACCTCGGTGATGAGTTCTTGGCTTCATTCGCCCCATTAGCTTTACTTCTGCGAAAAGAAGCCTACTTCATAATAACCGGAGAAGATTTTGGATGTGCATCAGATCAAAATTTTATTTATCCTTAACACAAGAGGAGATTAAATTCGTGAAATTATTTTTCATGATCTATTCAGAGTATCTTCAAGTTTTCCGACCACGAAAGTAAATATTAAAATACCAGATAGAAACGTAAAATTGCCTTGTTAAGTACTGGCATGAAGACGTGTGGGGGATTGGAGGTAAATTCTTGAAATCCTAATTTCAACTGTTTTAACCGCAGTGTCTACGGTATCGGAGGCTATGTGATCCCCAGAGCCAGCCTAGAAGAAGTAAAGAAGATAAAAGAAAATTTCATCCCTCGGAAATCGATTCTCGGTCGTCAACATAGTCACTTTACTGATTTAGTTGTACAAAATAGCCCATAGAAAATCTTAATTTTACTTGGTTTCTCTCCCTACGAGAAAGACACAAATTGTCGATACTTGAGAAAAAAAGTACCATGAAGAATTATGGAACCCGCGAGAGTCTAATGATCGACTTTAAGATGAAAGAATAATCGAAACCGCTGAAGAATTCTGAGTGTTCTGGTGCCACTTATTCCTTAAACAACAGCCCAGTCGTAACGCATCCCAATCCCAGGAGAGGAGTCGGTGAAAAAGAGAGAAAGGACGAATCGTATGCAAGCAGCGCTCCCAGCGGGAAAAAGCTGTAAACTATAGGGCACGAATATATAAAGTCAACTTTGTGTTACACTTACTTTGCCCACAGCAGCGTAAAAACCTTTTAAAATGGATTTTAGAGTCAGAGAATGAACCGAGAAGCGCTCACTTGTTCAAACATCCATCCGTTTTGAGATTCTTTCATCTTCGATGGAACACAATCGCTGAAGTGCAACATCTATCTAGGGCCAACGAGGAACTTGAAGAGGCAGGAAAACCTGACCATCTCGGTCTGACTAACCAACTGTCTAATTAATTAAATAATTAGTCAGATATCTAAAGTAATAAATTCTGTGGTAGAAAAAACCCGAAAGTTTAACACCGTATACCCAACTTCTCCACTGGATAAAATTCTGAGCCAGTTTCATCCACTTCTCATCCATAATATATTTGTCTCCTTATACGTCTTTAAATTTGTCGTCTTTCTCGCCAGAATGCCGTACGTAAATTATTGCCTCCCCCTTTCCGTACTAGTACACATATAAACCTACATTATATTATCCTAATGATATTAAGTCGTCTTTATCGTGGTAACTACACATACCACATAAGGGAAACTGCCCTAAAATGACAAACTATAAATATAAATCGGTTTAACATATTATCATTTACCTCTGAATGTATGACAGTACGTTTTATATAATGTTTGGGGCATGAAAAATGTTTGTTTAATGCAAACAATCAGTTTCAATACATACTAAAAGCCAGATTCTTCATTACACTCTGAAAGCACTGTATAAATCGAGCATTGGCGAGTGAACACATCGACTGACAAAGGAAAGTACTCTGTGCTGTGAAGTCTGTGTACCTGGTGTTATTTAACCAAAGTTGGCTGCACTTGCCTTCCAAAGCCTAACCTAAAAACACAAGTAATTCTATTTGAATAACTATGACTTACTTACAAATTCGTCACTGGACTGTTTCCAGAAGCTGATCCCACATCGTAGACTAACATTGCTGATAATCTATGGCTGCAAAACCTTAAAAGAACCGCCAGGAAACACACTTTCGCGCACAAAGCTTGAAACCCGCGCTTAGTCAACTCGCCACCTTTCACTGGAGTCGAGTACCATCATAACCAACCTGACGGCTTGAAATTGAAAACTATTCGATCAATAAATCTGGCAGTGATATATAAGCGTCATTTCACCCATCAATGTAATTTTAGGCTTGTCTCCCCCTCTTTAATATTCAATAACTATTATTTTATCTCACACGGGCTTCATATAAATATCAAAACAAACAACTATTATTTCTTTAAACAGAATTAACAAATTAACCAATGGAGATGCACTGTGTTTTCTTTGGGGTATGGACCAGATATGTAAATATTAGCCTATTCAGATTAAACTGGTGCTTCACATGGACGCTCACCTAAATAAATGGACTGATTAATAAAATAAAACAGCTAATGAGCAGATTAAATAACCACTAAGTCATTTACCTTTACAAAAACATTCTATTTGACATCATTCTGAACTAACATAATCCAATTTACTTTTACGCATTCAAAAAGGATTTTACAACTTTGAAAGTGTATAGAAATTTAATCAGAAAGCTTACAGAATCGGTTGAGGTGTCATTTTGTAGCAAAATAAATCAAGTTTTATCTCAAACATTCATTTTGGTTCGATGTGATTGCCATTGGTGATACTGCAGACATCCCACCTGAAATCAATTTCTTGCCAAACACGATCCAGCATATCCGGTGTATATTTTAATATTATCCTCACTTCTACACTTTAATATCCTTTCTTTCGCATAATATTTATTTACAGAAGTGCTGTACGTATTTCGTGGTTACCCATGTCTCATAAAATATTTTCTTTCTGGCATAATAGCAAAGAGGACAAGTTGTTAAGTCTCTTCATTTCGGTAATTAAATTATTTTCATTCTGGAACCAAATAAGATTATTTCGAAGTGATCGCTAACTGGAAAGCCTCTCGAAAAAACTGTTAAGTAAAAATATCGTTAAATAGTTTTGCATTACATGAACGACGTAGTAGTCCAACAAAAATTGGCGGAAACTAGTTCATATTTATTCTAAGAAGATTATATTATTATAAACTGACCTATAATATATTAAAATAACGAGTACTCA